TCAGTCCCTAACCCTCAAGGGGCGTACAATCTAAGGTCCCTAACTTACATTCATACATACACATACTAGGGACAATTTAGACAGGAGCCAATTCACCTACCAGCATGTCTTTGGAGTGTGGGAGGAAACCGGAGTACCCGGAGGAAACCAACGCAGGCACAGGAAGAACATGCAAACTCCAGGCAGGTGGTGCTGTGGTTGGGATTTGAACCAACAACCCTAGTACTGCCAGGAGGAAGTGCTAATTATTTAGCCACTGTGCTGCCCACTACTGGAATGTATCTGCCCTTAGCTCAGACATGTAGGCAGGAGGGTGTGTTTAGCTGAGAAAATCCCTCCTCCCCTTCTAAAGACTTCTGGGATGTATGACATCATTTGCCTAGGCCAGAAACCAGGAAGTAACTGAAGGTGGTGCCGTGGTTGGGATTCGAACCGCGGCCCTAGTACTGCCAGGCGGAAGTGCTAATCATTTAGCCACTGTGATAGCTTAATACAAAAAAAAAAAAAAGAAATTAGAGACAGTGTAAAAAAAAAAAAAGTTTTAGATGAAATAAATAATAATAAAAAAATTAAAGTGCCCTCATTCCACCCTGCTTACGTGGAAATGCGAATGCGTATGTAAGTCCCGCATTCAAATGTAAACAATGATCACACCACACTTGTGAGGTATTGTCACGAACGGCAGACAAAAAACAATCATTTTAGTGCAAGACCTCCTGTGTCACTCTAGACCAGGGGTGGGCAAACTTTTTGACTTGAGGGCCACAATGGGCTGATATATTGGACCCGGGGGCCGGACCAAGAGTAGATGAATGATGTGTATGTGTCATCCATAGTAAGTATAGTAATATTCCCCCATAGTAAGCATAGTAATTAATCCCCCATATAGTAATTAATCCCCCATATAGTAATTCATCCCCCATATAGTAATTCATCATCCTCCATATAGTAATTCATCCCCCATATAGTAATTCATCCCCCATATAGTAATTCATCCCCCATATAGTAATTCATCCCCCCATAGTAATTCATCCCCCCAATAGTAATTCATTCCCCATATTAAGTCCCCAAGTCCCCCCTGTGTCAATTCACTTACCTTTGCTCCGCGCGTTCCTCTCGCCGTGTTCCCGCGCCGTTCCGGTGTAGCATGAAAATCTGTCTCCTATGAGGATCTGTCCCCTTCGACGTATCTGCACATGTGCCAGTTTCAGGCATTAGCAGCCGATTGGCGATCTCCGGCACATGCGCAGATACGTCGAGGGGGACAGATCCTCATAGGAAACAGATTTTCATGCTACACCGGTCTTCAGGGCGGACTGTGAGAGGAGCCTAGCTCCCCTCACGTTAGTCACGCTGCCCCGCCTACACACATCCTGACAGCCATCCTGACATCACGCTCCGCGGGCCGGATTAAAAGGTCCGCCGGGCCGTATACGGCCCGCGGGCCGTAGTTTGCCCATTGCTGCTCTAGACTGATAACCTGTAAAAAGGAGTTTAAAGCGTCACCTACTGAGACTTTTAGGTACCCTAGTTTGGTGCCATTCTACGGGTGTGCGTGACATGTTAGGTATCTATTTACTTGGCGTAACATCATCTTTTACATACAAAAATGGGTATTCTATTGTGTTTGTATGCCAGAAAATTAAAGTGTATTTTTTCCAAAAAAACTTTGTTTGAAAAAACACCGCACAAATTCCATGAGACATAAAAAACATGGTGGTAATGGAGCGGACACTGGAGCTTGATTTGGCTGCTGAGCATTCGCTTGTACTGAGCACCCTAGTACTTCCGTGTATGAGGGAAACTTGAAAGTTTTTTTATTTTTTTTTTAAATTTCTCATTGGGGCTTGCGCTTCATTTACTCGCTCAGCAGATGCACTTCTGCTGAGCGTAAAGAGAGCCTGACACTCCCATTTCCTGAAGAGCAATCAATCGGTGCTCGCCACACTGAAAGGTCTCTCTCCTCCCTGCTAGTGAGGAGGAGGTAAACCGCAATTTTTAAAACATGAAACGTTTTAAGTCGCCAAAAAGCCCCTTTCATTTTTAAAAGCCCCAGACATTCTAAAAACACCTCATAAAAAACAAAAACCTTTCTTGCCATCAATAAATACCTTATTTAAATACGGTTTGGGCTACATTTTGTTTTCAGGACAAGATTGTCATGAAGGACAAGTAGATTGGGACCCAGATTTGGTCCCTTGGACAGTATTTTTTTTTTTTTTTTTTTTTTTTAGATTTCCACACCCCTTAAGGTATAGTTAATTTTTTTTTTTAAACTTTTTTTTACATTTTTTTCAGTTACTTCCTGGTTTCTGGCCTAGGCAAATGATGTCATACATCCCAGAAGTCTTTAGAAGGGGAGGAGGGATTTTCTCAGCTAAACACACCCTCCTGCCTACATGTCTGAGCTAAGGGCAGATAGATTCCAGTAGTGGGCAGCACAGTGGCTAAATGGTTAGCACTTCCTCCTGGCAGTACTAGGTTTGTTGGTTCGAATCCCAACCACAGCACCACCTGCCTGGAGTTTGCATGTTCTTCCTGTGCCTGCGTGGGTTTCTTCCGGGCACTCCGGTTTCCTCCCACACTCCAAAGACATGCTGGTAGGTGAATTGGCTCCTGTCTAAATTGTCCCTAGTATGTGTATGTATGAATGTGAGTTAGGGACCTTAGATTGTACAACCCTTGAGGGTTAGGGACTGATGTGAATGTACAATATATATGTAAAAGTGCTGCATAGATTGACGGCGCTATATAAGTACCTGAAATAAATAAGTAAATGCTACATGAATCATCCGCCCTTACTCAAGATGGCTGTGCCCAGAAAGGCTAGGGGGGTGTTTTTTCAAAGTCATTTCTCAGCAAAATAAACCATGGAGACAGATGGATGGGAAAGTTTTCTTTCAATATGAAAAATGAATCTAATAGCATTTTTGGTTTTTAGTGCTCAGATGCAGCGTACGTAGTTCCACTTTAAAGTGTATCTAATTTTGATTAATTTTCGTATCACTACTGGTACACTTTCAGGTCAATCACCTACAGGTGAAACTCGAAAAATTAGAATATCGTGCTAAAGTTCATTTATTTCAGTGCAATGCAACTTAAAAGGTGAAACTAATATATGAGATAGACTCATTACATGCAAAGCAAGATAGTTCAAGCCGTGATTTGTCATCATTGTGATGATTATGGCTTACAGCTCATGAAAACCCCAAATCCACAATCTCAGAAAATGAGAATATTCCATGCAATGTGAAAAGGTGCAATATTCTCGGCTCAAAGTGTCCCACTCTAATCAGATAATTAAGCCATAACACCTGCAAAGGGTTCCTGAGCCTTTAAATGGTCTCTCAGTCTGGTTCAGTAGGAATCACAATCATGGGAAAGACTGCTGACCTGACAGTTGTACAGAAAACCATCATTGACACCCTCCATAAGGAGGGAAAGCCTCAAAAGGTAATTGCAAAAGAAGTTGATGTTCCCAAAGTGCTGTATCAAAGCACATTAATAGAAAGTTATGTGGAAGGGAAAAGTGTGGAAGAAAAAGGTGCACAAGCAGCAGGGATGACCGCAAAGCCTGGAGAGGATTGTCAGGAAAAGCCATTCAAAAGTGTTAGCCTTAATTAGCCTTCATCATAGAAAGAATAGGCTAAAATTCTTTCTATGATGTGTGTGGATATGTTTATATATACACATATTTAAATTTAGATTTTTATAGGAGGAAGGATTTCCTGCACCTTCTGATTATTTATGGTAAAGATTGCAGGTATTTTAGCCTATTCTTTCTATGATGAAGGCTGTCCCGCACCTTCATGATTATACATATATATACTCTTTGCAAATTCCCATGAAATTAATTTAGATTTAGATTACCCTTCTGGGGTGGTTTTGCCATTTAAAGTGGTTTGGTTTTTTAAATATTATAGTTGGGTTTTTTTTTTTTCTGCCAGTTATAAGGACATAGTGGGCATTAATGCAATGTGCATCGCTGCAAGTAGTGTATTGTGCTCCGTTATCATGGCTGCGGTGGGCGTCTTCCCACTGGGCAGGGTGACGCCCCTGCAGCCTATAAATGGCTGATGTGTCAGTATGGGCGATTCACTCTGAGGAAGTCACGTGGATCGTAAAGGAAACGCGTTAAGGTACGCACTGACATCATTTCCGGTGGCGCGTTGACGTCATTTTCGGCGTCGGCGCCATTTCTGGAGGGATTGTGGAGCAAGTGAAGCTGCATGCATTTCTTAGCATGAGAACCATGGAAACACACCCATGATATGGGAAAAAGCTGATCTTTGTCATTTCACATGTGAGTGGGCATTTTATTTATATTCATGTTATTTATTAAAACTGGATTACACTATGGAGGATCTTCTTTGTTTTTAATGGTATCTTAAACGGTTTTGTGGAATCGAGTACCTAGGAGATAGGAGAAGACATTGGAGGGATCTATCCAAACGTTCCATCCTTTGATGATACCGTATATGGGTGTATAAGGTCACCTACATAGCTGTTTGGCCCATTGGGTCGCATTAAGGAGGTGAGGGGCCATCTTGGCCATCTGTGGATTGACCGCACACTGAGTGGCACTGTGATCACCTCACGGAGTTTGCTGTGATTTTTCACCATCATTGGCATTTATGGACTGCTGCACATAGTATTCATTTTATGAGCACTTAACACCGAATATTTATTGTGCATTCTATGTGTGATATTTCCATTTATCTCATTTGTATTTTAGTATAGGTTGTTAGTGCTGCACTATTTTTTGTATTTTTATGTTCTTTCCTTGTGGTTGAGGCGAGTGTGAGCTGCTTATTAATAGGTGTTCCATTGAGCGCAGGAATTTTTTTCATTATCTATGTTTTGGAATTACCTGTATGATTTGCTTCCATCAATGTGCCGCTAAACTAATGTTTACATTATGTTAGTGAGGCCATGCATTAGCTGTACTCATGTGTCTACATTCTCATACAGGGTGTCGGACTATGGCGGTGTCACCGGACATGGACGCCCACCTCCTCCCTCTGCCATGGAAGTCTCTGCAGATTGCACAGTGCACTTACTTATGTAAAGTCCATTTCACGGACTCTGCGTACTGCTTGCTGCTGTCCGACCTCAGCGGTGTCTGGTGCGAGGAGGTGGGAGCGGATGTCATACAGGAAAGGTCAAAGGTCAGTAAGTTGCTTAGTTCAGCAAAAAAACTTTGATGGATGTGGGGCTGGTGGCCCTTCACCTAATCAAACTGAAATAATTTATTCATGCTATAAATAACCATTTCATTGGTATAAGGTCAGGTTATGTCATTCTGTTAGTCTAGGTTCACACATGGGCAGCTGCTGAAAAGTGATCCACTGCACTGGATGTTAGCTAAGCAGCCACTGTCAGGCCCTCAGAATCCAGCTGCCTCCTGAATGCTGTTTTTTTATCAGGGTGGATTTGATTTAAATCAAACTGATTTAAATCACGATTTAAATCACTAGTCAGTAAGGCTTGATTTAAATCCTAGTTTTCTACATAAAGACTAATTCTTGCCGGTATAACTTTAATATGCAAGTAGATGAAGATTTTTGGAATAACAACTTTTCATATTAGTTTTTTTATCCCCAGTTTAATAGGTTAATCATTCATATTTGGACAACTTTTCTGTTGTACTTAGGATGGAGAAAAATAATCATTACCTTAATAATAACAATTTAAATAGATTTATTCAACTGAAACAATAACATTCCAGCATATGTGATTTCGCTTAAACAAACATCCATGTTTGTTAACTAATTTGGCTAAACAAAATATATATATTTTTAAGAAACTTAGACTGTCAGCCCCTTCCTCCTCCTCACACTTAGTTTCACTTTCTTCTTGTGCAGATCTATTCCACTCCAAACAATCAGAAAAATATTGTTTCTATTCTATTCACTGAACTTCTTGAAACTTCGCACTGAAGGGGTTGATTCTGTATTCATAGGTTTGTAGAAGTTAGGATGAAGGTCTTTTTCTTAACTCTGTTCATGTTATAACATTTTTGCTGTGAAGAAGAGGCATGTGATCTCCGCTGAGTCAAATTCAGTTTTGAGAACTGCAAAAGTAAACCGAGAATCTGTGATAATATCTTGTAGGCAGAGAAACTGCCCAATAATCTTACAAAAACCTCTGGAAGAGCATGACATTGTGAACGGATTCATGGAATTTATTTACCAAAAAAATTAAACATATACAGCCTTATTCTACATAATTAAAAAACTAATCTTTATTTCATGATGGAATAACCTTTGGATGGTAATATATTTTCCTCCAAAAGCATTTTATTTTAAAAAATCCGATTTAAATAAAAAAAAATCCGATTTAAATCAAAAAAATCTGATTTAAATAAAAAAAAATCATTGATTTTTTAAAAAAAAAATCATTGTTTTTTATCCACCCTGTTTTTTATATTTACCAAATAGGTTTTTTTTTTTAATGGGACTAAAGCGGCACCACCGACAGCCATTTGTTTGGGTTCTGGTTGTGGTGCGGGTTCATAGAATTGAACGGGTGAGTTTGACTGGAGGTGCCACCTGTCAGCTCCACAAGCCGAGTTAAGTTTGCTGCGGCTGTGATGCAAAGTCTCGCAGCGACCACATTTGTACAATCTCCCTATGGCTGTATGATAGATTTTAGATGGCCACTAAAACCACGGCCTAATTGCTTGTTTTGCCACAACCCCCTTTCGTGGCTGCCTATGTGAAAAAGAGGCCTTGGGATGAAGATACTACTTACCTGGCTGTCATGTGAATCTAAGGACGTAAGTACTTTCTGAGTTACTAGCTTAGAACAAGTAAGCAGATAAGGAATATGACTTCTCTGGCTGTTCTTGGCCCTTCAGAATACACTGGATTAAGAGGTTGAACAAGACAGCCAGGCAGGTAGTCTTTTTACATTAAAGAAACCCTTACCCTCACCCCCCCCCCCCCCCCCTTTTTCTCCAACTATGCAAGAAGGAGTAGGAGCATTACACCAATGGTCAAAAAGTCCAAGGTGGATTTGTTTAAATAATAAAAAAGCCAGTGTCTGGATACTCCATTTTTATCAGGACTACAGCACAAGCAAAAAGTGCATATAAAAGTTCATATACACTTTATTAGGTACACCTGCTCAGTTGCTTGGTAACACAAATTGCTAATCAGCCAATCACATGGCAGCAACTGAATGCATTTAGGCATCTAGACGTGGTGAAGACGACTTGCTGACATTCAAACTGAGCATCAGAATGGGGAAGAAAGGGGATTTAAGTGACTTTGAACATGGTATGGTTGTTGGGGCCAGACGGGCTGGTCTGAGTTTTATTTCAAAAACTGATCATCTGGGATTTTCACGCACAACCATCTCTAGGGTGTACAGAGAATGGTCCAAAAAAGAGAAAATATCCAATGGGTTTCAGTTGTGTGGAGGAAAATGCCTAGTTGAGGTCAGAGGAGAATGGGCAGACTGGTCCGAGATGATAGGCAACTAACTCATGACAATATAGACCAAAATCTCTAAGGGATGTTTTAAACACCTTGTTGAATCTATGCCACAAAGAATGAAGGCAGTTCTGAAGGCAAAAGGGGGTCCAACCCTGTACTAACAAGATGTACCTCACGGGCTTCACCCATCCTCTGGAACTCCCTACCTCAAGCTATCAGGCTATCGCCTACCCTGCTCACTTTTAGGCGCACTCTGAAAACTCATCTTTTGAGGGAAGCCTACCCTGACCCTGCCTAACTACTAAAATCCCCTACTCCCCCAACCACTCCATCCCCCACAGCTAATTTCCTCCTGTACCACTATCCCCTCCCTCCTAGATTGTAAGCTCCCAGGATCAGGCCCTCTAATCCCTCTTGTATTGTTACTGTACTGTGTTCCTCCATAATGTAAAGCGCTGAGCAAACTGTCGGCGCTATAGAAGTCCTGTATAATAATAATAATAAATAATACCTAATTAAGTGAGCTGGTGAGTGTAAAATTTAAATGCATGCTGTAAAAGATCATAATAGAAAAATCTGTTTTTAAAATGCAATTAATATTGTAACATTGCCACATAGATTTAATCAATTTATTCTGACACACAATGACACCAGTATTGCTAAAAAAAAAAAAATCACAGGCAGCCTGAGGCTGGTGTCTTCCCAATGCATAGCCATGGTCAGGTGGTCAATAGTGTGAATGTGCCGGCACTGATTTTTAGGTTATGGATTTGTGACCAAGTGTATATCTGCCACCTCTGTCCATGGCTGGCTAAAGCCATTCTCAGATTTCCCATCTCCATATTTTCTGTGCAGGAGCTGAACAAAAGGCTGAAGGCTCCAATCTCTTCTTTCCTTTCCCACTTGTCTCGGCTCCTCCTTCCATTGCTGGATTCCAGGGACGATGGACATGACAGGTTCTCCTTTCAGCGGGCAGAGAACACACTGATGCTGCAAGTGAAGAGTCAGCTGTCTGGCCTTCCTTTTTACTGGGAGTTCCACTGTAAGGAGGCCAGTGTCAGCACGGTGAGTGACCATACAACCTAAAAACACCTGTAATGGAGCGGGACAGAAAGAAAAGCGTCTGGGTTATCTCTATAAAATTTCTGCTTTCAGTTTTTTTATACTGAACAGAAAATAGTTAAAATGGTTCTCAAGCCTCAGAGAGCAAGTCAGCTGTAGAATACATCTGCTCTCCCAGCAACCTTCTGGTTCCCCAGCTCTTTGGAACTTGTGTTCAGTCAGCACTCAGAAATGCAGTATGTATTGGTTATAGGGCTACAGGTCCCAGGATCCTCTGCTGTCTGAAAAACCGAATCCACTCTGCTAACAGGAAGTGATGTATTGGTCCCAGTTGGGCACGAGGGGTAAAATAACCACTTCCTGACCGAGTCCCGTTGTATATAAACGGCCGGACAGTGGCAGTGCAGGGTCGGGTGGCCGTTTATAAACGGCCTCCCCGCACCCTGCTTGTGCGTGCTCCCACCGTGATCCGGTGCCCGCTGTTTCCTCCGGACACAGTGAAACACCGATCGTCGGACGGGACCTCTGTGCGAGGTCCCGATCATGTGATCACTGATTGGCCAATCAGTGATCACATGCAAAGTAGCAAGCAAGATGTCACTTGTGACATCATTGCTTACTACGTGTGAATTCTGTGAATGATCACAGAGGTCACATCGTACAAGGCTATTCACAACAGCCTTGTACCATGTGACAAGCTGTGACCAATCACAGCTCACTCTGTATTTCTCAATGACTGCAAGAATGCAGACAGAGAAAGAGAAATGATTGCTTTTACATCTTATATGGGTGTAAAAGCAATCAGTGAAAAAAAAAAAATTAAAAAAATCTTCATCACCCCCCCACAAGTAGTACAGTGTCACCATGGTGACACTGTACTGCTAGGATGACAGTATGTAGAAAAAAAAAATAAAAATAATATAAAAAAAAAAAAATAAAAATGTAAAAAAAAATGTAAAAATTATAATTTTTGGTTATAAACTAATTTGGATTTTTTTTTTTTTTACTAAAAAGATAACGGAATAAATTTTGGCCAAGATTTATGATGAAATATTATTTATTTGCTAAATTTAAAAAAAAAAAAAACACTTTTTTTCAAAATTTTTGGACTTTATCATTTACATAGCAAAAAAAATAAAAATCCCAGCGGTGAATAAATACCACCAAAATAAAGCTTTATCTGTCTCAAAAAAATGGTAAAAAATTCATTTGGGTACAGTATTGCATGACCACGCAATTGTCATTCAAAGTGTGATAGCGCTGAAAGCTGAAAATTGCCCTGGACAGGAAGGGGGTAAAAGTGTCCGGTCTGGAAGTGGTTAACTATTAGTCTTAGTGATGCACCGAAATTTCGGTGATCGAAACGTTTCGGCCGAAAACACCCCTTTTGGCCGTTGGACAAAATGAAAAAAAGCACCGAAGCAGGTGCCGAAAAAACCTCGCCTCTCACCGATGCTGCCGGCCCCGCTCGGTAGTTCTCAGCCTTACCTGAGAAACCATCGAGCGATCCCGGCACTGGGCATAGAGATGAGTGAAGGAAAGATGGCCTCCACTCATCTCTATGCCCTTGGAGGACCGGAGCGATGTTACTTCCGGTTCCGGCCATTTTTTATTTATTTATTTTTGTAAAACTAGACCAATGCTTTTTTTGATCCAATGCTTTACATTGCAGAGGAGAGATGTGGGGTCTTATTGATCTCATATCTCTCCATAAAGAGGACCTGTCACTAATTATTTCTATCACAGGGGATGCATGCATTTCTTGTGATAAGAATAAAAGTGATTAAAACATTTTTTAAAGACACAGTGCAAAAAAAAATTAAATAAAAAAAGTTTAAAGTGCCCCTGACCCCCATGCTCCGTGAACACATACGTAGGCCACACCCACATATGTAAATGGTGTTCAAACCACACACGTGAGGTATCGCCACAAACGTCAAAGCAAGAGCAATAATTCTCGCACTAGACCTCCTCTGTAACTTTACAATGCTAACCTGTAGAAATATTAAAGCATCACCCATGGCGATTTTTAAGTGCCGCAGTTTCACTCCATTCCACGAGCGTGCGCAATTTTGAAGCGTGACATGTTTGGTATCTATTTACTCGACGTAACATCCTCTTATATTTTACAAAAAATTGGGGTATATATTGTTTTTTCTTTTGTTTTTTTTAATCAAAGTGTATCTTTTTCCAAAAAATATATATTCATTTTTAAAAACTGCGCATTTCAGTTTCGGTTTTCAACTAAGTGCATTTTGAATTTTCGTCTTCGGTTTGGGCACCAGAATTTTAATTTCAGTGCACCACTAATTAGTCTCATCTGTAAATTTCCCTGAATGACATAATGATATAGCCAGCTACATAGATATAGTAATTTTTAGCAGGGGTTCCCGGAGACCAGAAAGTAATTTCAAGGGTTCCTCTATGTTGAAAAGATTGGGAAATGCTGATCCAGATATTAAATAAGTGTGAACTAGACCAATGAGCACAAGTAATGATAATTATATCAAGTACATATAACCAAGCTGTCGCCTCACAGTACATAATATCCTTTTACATTGGGTATATCAAAAAGTAGACCGTTCTTATTACATTAGCTTAACCAACACAGTTTTGGGGTGAGGCTAGACGAGGAGAGGATAACCAGGATGAGCGCATCTTGAAAAATGTTTTGGGGACATCCCTTGTACTGATGAATATTTATCTTTCTAGCAGTTGGTTATCAGTTTCCTTCCATTGTAATAACAATGGAGGTGTAGAAGAAGTCAAATTTTGTGCTATTCATTTTGGGCAATGAACAATAATTTTGTGAGCATTATATGGAGTGATTCGGGAACGAAGTCTTCAGGGATAATGACCAATAATTCTATTTGGGAACTAGAGGCAACCGGAGGGGATAGAGGGCATTCATTGTTTAAATATACAGATATACATCCAAGTGCTATAGATCTATGCAGTACCAGCCATCTAGTTCAGTGAATATACAATAATTAATAAACAGAAAATTCCTTCTGCTTCAATGTTCAGAGCTGTTTCACACATGTGCAGCGCGGATTGAAGCTCAGGTTTCACAGCTAATTGATGCAGCAGTTGTTCATTGGTTCATGTCAGGCTTACATCAGGTTCAGGACAGGATTAGCTCTCAGGATTATCTTGTTCACACATATGTGGTTTAGAAACGGTTCCCATAGAAGTCAATAGCCTGTAATCCGCACCTGAACCTAAAGGCACTGCTCAGAAATCGTACATGGCTCTTTTTCAAACCGCACCTAATCCCCACTGCCAGTGCACTGGACATATGTGAACAGGCACCATAGGAAGCAATGTTTTTTCACATGTCATGTAATTGGATGCAGTTCAAACTGCATCCAATCCGCATATATGGGAACCAACGTGAATTTAAACCGTGTTTAAATTCAACATTATGATACTAAAACCAGATAAATAACTTTCATATCCTAAATTCAAAATAAAGTTCCATTATTCTATTATGTTCACCATTGTGTAACTCATTTCCTCAATATCCATGTTTTTCAATCACAATTCGGTGAGTCCCACCACCACTGTGGCAATGTGCTCACCCCCGGCTTTATATCCGTGTAAACCAGGTCAATGTCACCTTTTCCCCTGGGGATCACTCCAAAAGCTGCTGCATGGTATTTCTAAAGATGTTACTCCATGTCCCGTATACAAAGAAGAATGGATATACGGCTCATTTAAGATTTTGAACTTGCTCTGAGATGTACTCTGTAATTAAGCTGAAGGACATATGGGGGGCCACATAGTGTTGTATATTAAAATTGCTTTCATTAATGTAAAAAATGCACTTACATATGTTAAAACATATAGGCACTTTAATACAGAGCGGGGTCGCTGCTCCCGCCTCACTGCTGGTTGCTCCTGTCAATTGTGTCACCTGGCTCCGCCCCACGCGTATCATTACAGTCATGTGACTTCCTTGAGGGATGTATATCTGTTTATTTAAGAACGCTGTGGGAACACACTTTATGTTGTGCAGCCTTCTATTGGTAATGATTGATTTACTCTTAATGTGATTTATTCCTATTTATTTAATGTTTGTTTACTGTGAACAATGGGGCATATCATTTATCAGGGATGTCTAGGAAACAGAGCTTAAAATTAGGATAAGCATGGGATTATTATAACACTTTATTGTTTTAAATATACATGACCAGAATCTTTGATTTCCTTCTTCAATCGAGACCACATGACCAAATGTCTAGACTTTTGCTTATATATGCAGCACTGATAGGAGCCTGGAGCAGTATATTCACCTGTGAAGATGAATACCTTTTAGCCCTTTACAGTTTGTTTATTCATCTAAGAAAGACTGCGATTCATGAATATATGTTAACAAATGAGCACAGGTCCACTTTAACTGTCATGTCTACCTCGCTCTGAGCTCATTCAGGGGACACTAACACTTTCAGGGGACACACTAAATTATTATTTCCCAGCAAATGGGCAGCATTACAGTGGCTAAATGGTTATTGCACTTCTGCCTAAATGGTTATCACTTCTGGCAGTACTCGGGTCGTTGGTTCGAATCCTAGCCATGGCACCTCCTGCCTGGAGTTTGCATGTTCTCCCTGTGCCTGCGTAGGTTTCCTCCGGGTACTCCGTTTCCTCCCACACTCCAAAGACATGCTGGTAGGTTAATTGGCTTCTCTCTAAATTGTCCCTAGTATGTGTATGTATGAATGTAAGTTAGGGACCTTAGATTGTACGCCCCTTGAGGGTTAGGGACTGATGTGAATGTACAATATATATGTAAAGCGCTGCGTAAATTGACGGCGCTATATAAGTATCTGTAATAATCTGTAATAATAAATGTAGTGGTCTTATGAAATTCACCTCATTCAACCGTATACACCTTTTTTTAAAGGAAACGTCTGAAAGATCATATGAATGATTCTTGGTTCTGAACACTGCCCTCTGGAGTAAGGGCAGGGAGCTTGCCTAGCACAAAGTCATGTGACAAGAACCTACTGTCCTTCCCAGAAGCCATGAGATGCCTGAGCCTGTCATTAGAGAAACATGTAGGCTGACATCCTACTAAAGTGCTAGTCATCTGGCTGTCTCTGGCTCCATCACCATCCGAGTCACAGATCTACTTAGAACAAGTATGCAGTAGGCGCTTGATCTACATATTTATTTCAGGTCAGCGATTCGGGAACCTCAGAATCAGCCCCACAACCTGGCAACTAACTAGCAATCGCAATTCTTACCTCTTCAGAGGAAGTTGTTATATGACAATTAAGACACAAGATGGTGCTGTGTATCCAGGAAACTTCAGCTTTATTCGGGACGGCTTTATAATGTAGAGTAGCCGGGGCAAGTCATAGAGGGTTCAATGTGCCCCAATATATAATTGAGTAAAATAGATGATGAACAATGCTTTATAGCATCTATTTTATACATGGAAAGTTAATAGTCCAAATATAGATTTATTGCAAAAAAAAACTTTTATCACTGCACCAATGCATTTCTGAGGTCAGAGAACACCCCCTTCGTCAGGGTTTGGAGTTTATACCGGGGTCTTTGACTAGATTTGAGAAAAAACTTTAAACTGATTGTAAAGGCTGAAGGTTTTTTACCTCCATGCATTCTGTGGGCAGCAGCCCCCCTAATACTCACCTAAGCCCCCTCTTGATCCAGTGATGTGCACACGATCCCCCGGTCTCCCTTGTCTCTCTCTCTCTCTCTCTCATTGGTTGAGACAGCAGCAGGAGCCATTGGCTCCCACTATTGTCAATCACAGCTGATAAGCCAATGAGCAGTGATTGTGGGGGGGGCTAAGCCATGACTGTTTGTGAATGGTCACACAGAGCAGTGGCTAAGGTGCCCTCATAGTAAGCTGTGTGCTGTGGGGGCACTTGTCAGGTGGGAAGGGCCAGGAGCGCCGGCGGGGGACCCAAGAATGGAAGGTTTGAGCATTTTGTGAATGGTCACACAGAGCAGCGGGTCGGGAGAAAGCCTGCTCAGGTGCCCTCATAGTAAGCTGCGTGTTGTGGGGGCACTTATCAGGTGGGAAGGGCCAGGAGCGCCGGCTGCGGGACCCAAGAATAGAAGGATTGAGTGTTTGTGAATGGTCACACAGAGCAGCGGGTCAGGAGAAAGCCTGCTCAGGTGCCCTCATACTAAGCTGTGTGCTGTGGGGGCACTTGTCAGGTGGGAAGGGCCAGGAGCGCCGGCAGGGGACCCAAGAATAGAAGGATTGAGTGTTTGTGAATGGTCACACAGAGCAGCGGGTTGGGAGAAAGTCATGCTCAGGTGCCCTCATACTAAGCTGCCTGCTTTGGGGGCACTTGTCAGGTGGGAAGGGCCAGGAGCGCCGGCTGGGGGACCCAAGAATGGAAGGATTTGAGTGTTTGTGAATGGTCACACAGAGCAGCGGGTCGGGAGAAAGCCTGCTCAGGTGCCCTCATACTAAGCTGCGTGCTTGTGGGGGCACTTGTCAGGAGGGAAGGGCCAGGAGCGCCGCGGGGACCCAAGAATAGAAGGTTTGAGCATTTGTGAATGGTCACACAGAGCAGCGGGTCGGGAGAAAGTCCTGCTCAGGTGCCCTCATACTAAGCTGCGTGCTTTGGGGGCACTTGTCAGGTGGGAAGGACCAGGAGCGCCGGCGGGGGACCCAAGAATAGAAGAATTGGGGCTGCTCTGTGCAAAACAATTACACAGAGCAGGTAAATATAACATGTCTGTTTAATTTTAAAAAAATGCCTTTACAATTGCTTCAAGTATATCTAAACCCAAGAACAAAAACAAAATATTGCAGATTATCAGTCCTTAGATGTGGTTGCTGCATTCATTTTCTTTTTTTTTTTTTTTTTTACTAGTGAGCCTTCCAGTAACACACTTCTTGTCCTAGGGTGATAATGTTCACTCACTGTACTATATTTATAGAGAAGCAGCGTTCTTACCCTAGGAAGAGAGTGCAGAACATCCCCCTGTCTTCATCTCCACATCATAGGGGGCAGGTGTTCTGTAGTCTACAGAAGTCAGTTAGGCCTCTTGCACACTACAGCTGGTTAAAGCTCAGTGTGGTTTTTTTTTTTAGTGATCTAAAATGCAGTCCATTGTTTACAGTGTGTCTGTACACACATGCGTGTAAACAAGCGCTGTGTATTCTTGAGTATAAAAAAAAAAGAAACATTTGCAATTTTGGTCAGTATTTGCGCTGGTGAGGACAAATATGAGCAAATATGTGCAAATACAGGCATATGAGCATAAATATTAATGGATTTTGCCTAGGAATGTATTGTGCGTACAAATGCGCATACCCGTAAATGCGCGCAAAACACCTAATATGTCCAGAAATGCTGATGCTCAAACATCGGTATATGTGCAAGAGGCCTTAGACAGGGTTGATATTATTTTTGGAGGTAAGATTACAGATTACTCAGGACAGCACTGGATTTCTGACAGGATTGTCAGTTTTTTTTAACATACAATCAGATGTAACCAACACTTTCAGTGGTATAATTAAAAGACCAAAAAGGAGCAAAAAATAAACATTGCTTTTTACAGTTTACATATATTTGTATTTCTCAGGACAGCAGGGAAACTATATTTTATTTGGGTGCTTGTCTTGGTGTTTTTATTTCATTTGTGCAGGCTCAACCTTGTTGTATGTGGCAAATGTTCACCCTCTCTTGTGTTTGATTGGCAGGTGTGTCGACATTTAGTCCAGCCTCTGGTGCGTATGACGAAGGCTCTAGACTGTCAGAGCCAGGAGCTGTGCACTATACTGCTCAGGAAAGATGCCGAAATTCAGGATTACCAGGAGAGCGGGGCTGTGCTCACTCGAGGTAAATAGGCCAGGCTTGTATGCATTATGCAATAACAACAATAACAGTATATTAAGGATGAGAGTGATACAAATTAATACTAAGACTAGAGATGGGAAGTCCTGAAAAAAATGTAAAATTTGGGGCAAAAAAATTTTTTTTTCTTTTTTTCCCCCCAAAGGTGTTTTTTTTTTTTCCGGAAAAATAAAAAAAAAACAGTGCAGAACATGTTCTTTTACAATGATAAATAATATATCTATGACATGGTATTCAAACTATATAATATGAACGATAACACAAAGAAAATCAGCGAGCGCTAACAAAAATAGCAGCTAAATGCACCAAAAAAGGAACTACAAGTCCTCTCAATAAAATCAAATGTACCAAGGAAAGGTGCAGCGCATAAAGTAAACCAATCAATATCTGAAATTCATCTAAAACATCATAATCCTCAATCAGATTAAAATCATAAATCAAAAAGGTAGTGCAAGTAAACATATATGTGAGTCTCAAAATGTAAACTCTGTAACGTGAAGGTGCTATTCAAAAACCTTTCCTTGGTACATTTGATATAATGTGACGACCTTAATTAGGTATTTCTGAGACTTTATGTAAAGTCTTACATTATTCCAAGTTCTCTCAGCTGAAGACCAGCAATTCATGGAATACAATTCAAGTAACACTGTACTTCTCAATGCAGTTCTCAAACAAGAGAAATACGCATTTCTGCCACTAGGGGGCACGTCAGGGAAAAGGCTCCAGTTTAGTTTGCTTGTGGGCTCCATCTTGTAGCTCCTACAGTTGGGTGCAATTTCTGCTGAGAGCAAATGCTACATGGATGACAAAACATATCCTTGCATGCCAGAGGTGTCCTAAAGAAATGAATAATACTTTATGAAATTAAATGATGAGGATCAGAATGGAAGTGCAAGTAGCTTTTCCTTCCAGTGTTCTCATTCCAGAAACACTCTTTCTGCTGCTTCTGGATCATCACAAATGTTAAAAAGCAAGTTTGGTTTATTTACTGAATAAGCTGTACTTTTATTTCAATCACAATACTTTTATATATACTGCATTTGATGTTTACAGGGTAACAAAATGAATTTCTATTTGTAAAACTACTCCACACTGAATTTTTTTTCAACTTTTTTCGAAATTTTTCATTTTCTTCAGAAAAGAACAGGGGAAAAAAAAAACATTTTTTTTTCCCATGGCTTCAACATTTCTGGAAGTTTTTACATCTCTAAGACCAGAAAAAGTTTATCCTGACAACAGATCAGAGGATATTGCCAACATGTTTTTGGGACTTGCAACTCCCCCTTCTTGAGGGTTTGAGTGCTGGCAATAATTGGGGTGTACTGGACTGAAAGGGGGTTATTTGAAAACTCAGATGCAGCTCTCTGCAGAGAAACCAATCGGCTTCTAGATTTTATTGCCAAAGTTCAGTTGAACAAGTGAGAAGCTGATTGGCTACCTTGTATAGCTGCACCAGGTTCTGAGTACATCAGTTTTAGTAAATCTCCCTCATGTTGTTTATTATTATTATTATTATTATACAGGACTTATATAGCGCCAACAGTTTGCTCAGCGCTTTACATTATGGAGGGAGACAATACAGCAACAATACAGTTCAATACAAGAGGGATTAGAGGGCCCTGATCCTGGAAGCTTGCAATCTAGGAGGGAGGGGATAGAGGTACGGGAGGTAATTAGCTGTGGGGGATGGAGTGGTATGAGGAGTAGGGGATTCCAGTATTAGCTGGGGTCAGGGTAGGCTTCCCTGAAGAGATGAGTTTTCAGGGTGCGCCTGAAAGTGAGCAGAGTAGGCAATTGCCTGATAGCTTGGGGTAGGGAGTTCCAGAGGATGGGTGAAGCTGTTGAGAAATCCTGGAGACGAGCATGGGAGGAGGAGACAAGGGAGCTAGAGAGTAAGAGGTCTTGCGAGGAGCAGAGAGTACGGTTTGGGTGATATTTAGAGACAAGATCAGTGATATAATTAGGGGCAGTGTTATGAACGGCTTTATACGTCAGTGTTAGTGTTTTGAATTTTATCTGTTGGGCAACTGGGAGCCAGTGGAGGGATTGGCAGAGAGGGGTGGCAGATACGGAACGGTTAGTAAGGTGAATGAGTCTGGCAGCAGCATTCATGATGGACTGGAGTGGGGATAGCCTGCAATGAGGCAGGCCAGTGAGGAGGGAGTTACAATAGTCAAGGCGTGATATGATGAGGGAGTGAATGAGTTGCTTAGTGGTTTCCGAGGTTAAGAACGGGCGTATCTTGGAGATGTTGTGGAGGTGAAGTCTACATGAGTTTGTCAGCGATTGGACCTGGGGCTGGAAGGACAGATTGGAGTCTAGGATTACACCTAGTACCCTGGCTTGAGGGGAGGGACTGATGGTAGTGTTGTTGATTCTGATGGAGAAGTCGGGGGGGGGGGGGGCACAGACTGGAGGGAATACTAGGAGCTCAGTTTTGGAAAGGTGAAGCTTGAGGAAGTGGAGTGACATCCAGTCCGATATGTCACTTAGTAGGCTGGTGATGCGATTGGAGACTGAGGGGGTGAGGTGAGGGGTAGAGAGATAGATTTGTGTGTCGTCGGCATATAGGTAGTAGTTGAAGCCATGGGAGTTTATCAATTGGCCAAGGGAGGAGGTGTAGATGGAGAAGAAGAGGGGTCCGAGGACAGAACCTTGAGGGACCCCGACAGAGATAGGGAGTGAAGGGGAGGTGGCAGCGTTAAAGGTAACACTGAAGGAGCACTGCGGCAGATAGGAGGATTTGAATTTTTAGCCGGTTGCAAGTCTGACAGCCTGCTGTATCCCAAGTCCCAAAAGTTGTTAGTCTCCAATATGTGTTGGATATATCCTTTGGTCAAGATAAATTAACTTTTACTGGACTTAATAAAAAAATTGTGATGTGCCAATCCTTTTTATATTGTTTGTAGCACTCCAGGGACCCTCAAGGACACCCTGGTTGACAGCTGCTTTTAAAAATTGGATGTTGAGCTGTTCCCTTATTTTTGGGCCCAGCGCTCCGTTAACATGCCTCATGATTTTACTAATAAAGGAATGCTGGTTGTCTTATAGGCCGCTTGAAAACAGAATCTTTTGATGAGGGATCATTCCAAGAATCTTTCCTGGCAGAGGTAAGAGACTACGGCATGGCAGTGGTTATTCCTCCAGTTTTACCCTAGGTTCACATCTGTGAAGGTGGTGCCGCTGCGGATCCGCACGAAAATCTGTGCAGCCGCACCACCCGCACAGAGAAATGCGGACCCGCGGGCGGATGCCATTAGTTCTAATGGCATGCCGCCCGTACTGGGAATCGAGGTTTCCGTGCGGGCTGCGTTTTCAGTAGAAGTACAGAGACTTCTGTGCGTGTCACGGGCACGGGAGTCCATTCAAATGAATGGGCTCTCGTACCCGTGCAAAACGCGGCCCGCACGGTCACATATATGTGAACTAGGGCTTAGTAAATCTCCTCCATAATTTGTGTGTCCTGTGTGCAGCCATAACTCCTCCTCAGCTCATCATCAGCTGACAACATCTGAACCTGAAATAAAAGTCAGCTACCTTGCAACAATAAACTTGTTTCTTCAACTTGTAAGCTGTTACCAGTTTACACGATTATTAAGTGTTGCATGACAAGACCACTTCCTGTTATCCCACATATATATTCTTATTATTATAGCCAAATTTACCACCCTAACTCCTCCCACAGTTTTTACACTACATTATTATTATTCAGTATTATTATTCAGTATTTATAAAAGCGCCAATAGTTCGCTCAGCGCTGTACATTACAAAGGGGGACAGAACATGTGACAGAACAATACCAATACAATGCAAAACATGAGGGGATCGAGGGCCCTGCTCTTTCAAGCTTACAATCTAGGAGGGAGGGGATGGTGGCACAGGAGGAGATAGCTGTGGGGGATGGAGTGGTAGGAAGAGTGGAGGAGGTCGGCAAGTTAGCAGGGGGCGGGGTAGGCTTCCCTGAAGAGATGGGTTTTCAGGGTGCGCCTAAAGGAGAGGAGAGTAGGTGATAATCTGATGGGTTGGGGCAGGGAGTTCCAGAGGATGGGTGACACCCTGGAGAAGTCCTGGAGGCGGGCATGGGAGGAGGAGACCAGGGAACTAGAGAGAAGGAGGTCTTGTGAGGAGCGGAGTGTGCGTGCTGGGCGGTACTTGGATATTAGGTCAGTGATGTAGTTCGGGGCAGTATGGTGGACAGCTTTGTACGTCAGTGTTAGGATTTTGAATTTGATCCGTTGCGCAATCGGAAGCCAGTGGAGGGATTGGCAGAGGGGGGTGGCGGAAACGGAGCGGTTGGAAAGGTGAATGAGTCTGGCAGCCGTATTCAGGATGGACTGAAGCGGGGATAGCCAGCGGCGAGGCAGGCCAGTGAGGAGGGAGTTGCAGTAGTCGAGTCGCGATATGATGAGGGAGTGGATGAGCTGTTTAGTGGTTTCTGGAGTTAGGAACGTGCGGATTTTGGCGATGTTGCGGAGGTGGAGTCTGCATGAGTTTGTTAAAGAGTGGACTTGGGGCTGGAAGGATAGGTTGGAGTCCAAAATGACACCAAGTACTCTGGCCTGCGGGGCGGGTTTGATGGTGGCGTTGTTGGACATGATGGAGAAGTCAATGGGGGGTGGTGTCCGGGCTGGAGGGAAGACAAGAAACTCGGTTTTGGAGAGGTTCAGTTTAAGGAAGTGGAGCGACATCCAGTCTGATATGTCGCTCAACAGGTGTGTGATTCGGGCGGAGACCGAGGGGGTGAGGTGGGGGGTTGAGAGATAGATTTGTGTGTCGTCGGCATAGAGGTGGTAGTTGAAGCCGTGAGAGTGTATGAGTTGGCCAAGGGAGGAGGTGTAGATGGAGAAGAGAAGGGGCCCGAGGACAGAGCCTTGGGGGACCCCAACAGAGAGGGGGAGTGAGAGGGAGGTGGTGGCATTATAGGTAACGCTGAAAGAGCGTTGTGACAGGTAGGATGAGAGCCAGGAGAGAGCAGAATCTCTGAGGCCGAGGGAGTGTAGTTTTTTGAGGAGGAGGGGGTGGTCGACTGTGTCAAAGGCCGCAGAGAGGTCAAGGAGTAGGAGCACTGAATAGTGGCCATTAGCTTTGGCGGTTAGCAGGTCGTTGGAGAGTTTGAGTAAGGCAGTTTCGGTGGAGTGTAGGGGACGGAAGCCGGACTGTAGGGGATCGAGGAGGTTGTTGTCGTTGAGGTGAGAGCATAGGCGGGCGTAGACTAGGCGCTCGAGGAGTTTAGATGTAAATGGGAGCAGGGAGATGGGTCTGAGGTTGTTCGGGTCATTGGGGTCCAAGGAGGGCTTTTTAAGTATGGGGGTGATGTGTGCATGTTTCAGAGGGGAAGGGAAAGTGCCGGAGGAGAGGGAGAGATTGAAGATGTGGGTGAGGGAGCGTAGGATGGAGGGGGAGGGAGGTTGTAGGAGTTGTGTGGGGATAGGGTCAAGGGGGCAGGTGGTGAGGCGGGCATCAGAGAGGATCTTGGAGACTTCTTCGATGGTAGTAAGGTCAAAGGTGCGGAGTGTTGGGGGAGCTTCAGTATGAGGAATGTAGGGTGGGGTGGGGGAGAGGAGGTCAGAGCAGTGGTGGGGCCGTGGGAGAGGGGTGTAGAGGGGGTAGCTGAGTGAGGGGGAAGGGGGTTGGAGGGAGTTTGAGCAGCGACGAAGTCCCTGTGGGTTATGTCGAGGGGGAGGGGGGATGAGGGGGTAGCTGTGTGAGAGGGGACGGGTTGAGAAGGCGTGCGAGTTGCGGCAATGTCCTTGCGAATTGTGTCAATCTTGTTTTTGAAGTGATTGGCAATCTCAAGGGCAGTGAGTGAGGTGCTGGGTGGAGGTGGGGGTGGCGAGAGTAGAGAGTTGAAGGTGGAGAAGAGTCGGCGAGGATTGGAGGAGAGGGCCTTGATGAGGGTCAGGAAGTAGGCTTGTTTGGCAGTATGGAGGAAGGAGGTGTAGGTGTGGAAGGCAGATTTGTATCGGGTGAAGGCTTGTTGGGATTTGGTTTTGCGCCATAGTCGCTCCAGGGCACGACTGTGTCGTTTGAGGGTTTTGGTGTGATCAGTCTGCCAGGGCTGGAGCGGTCGGGGTCTGATGTTGCGTGTGGTTAAAGGCGCTAGTGAGTCAAGGGCTGTTGACAGCGCATTGTTGTAGGCGGTCATAGCCAAGTCGGGGCAGGACAGGGGGAGGATGCTGTCATGGAGTTGATCAACTGCGGAGTGGAGGGAGGCAGGGTTAAGGTTGCGGAGGTTACGGCTGGTAGTAGTGTGACATTTGGAGGGGTAGGCGTTGGAGGATGAGGAGATAGAGAAGGTGATCAGGTTGTGGTCAGAGAGAGGGAAGGGGGTGTTAGTGAGGTTGTGGGGAGCGCAGCGGTTGGAGAAGACAAGATCAAGGACCGTAATATACGGAAACGTGCGGATTGTTCCCGATTGGTGTGCTATTACTTTGTGGAAATGTTCGCCGAATGGTTCACGAAATATCAACGCTTTTGTGGTGAAATTGGTCCCATAGGAATGAATGGCGAAATGTTCAAAACTAGAGTGGGAGCTGACAAAAGCTAGAGCTGAAAAATCAGGACATGATTTCTAAACTGCCATCACTCCCTCATTTTCAAGCCCACCTACACAAATCTTATATCAAAACGTTCAGCTATCCCTGCTGCCACTAACAATGTCCACGGCTAAGCCACAGTCCTGATAGTTTTCACAATATGACCATTTGTTTGCAACTCACGCCGCCCATTGACATTCATTGAAACTCCACTCTAGCCACCTCAAATTTGAAGGGCAATTTCTAAACTGCGGCTGTGCCTTCATTTTTAATATTTCAGAGACATACTATGCATCAACAAGTAGGTCTGGGTCTTGTGATTCTCACAATATAAAGCTCTTTGGTGTAGGATTTATAATTTTTAAGCTACAAACCGTTTGAAGATGGCAACCGCCAGTGAAGTGAGCAAGTTGGAGCAGTTTGTTTTTAACCGCTCTTCTCTGCCCTTGCTGTAGAGTGAGTTGGCATAGGAACCCAGGTGTGTGAGTAGCCAGCAGAGTGACAAAAGCTACTCCGCCCAGTTACTCCGCCCACTCCCGTTGTAGACTACTGGTGGAGGCAAGAACACTTCACACAATTTCCCCAGAAATTGTAGCTTTTCTAGCTATTATTATTATTATTATACAGGATTTATATATTATTATTATTATACAGGATTTATGGCGCCAACAGTTTGCTCAGCGCTTTACAATATAAGGGAGACAATACAGCAACCATACAGTTCAATACAAGAGGGTTAGGAGGGCCCTGATCCTGGGAGCTTACAATCTAAGAGATGATGCAGTGGAATGGTTGGGCAAAGACACTCGTTCAGGGTGTTGGACACTGCATTGGATTGCTTTTCCACAGCAAAGACATAAGATAAACGTATTATCAGATCATATTTAATTACTTTAGTTTCTCTTTAATAAAATATTCTGATTCTGCATTAGGCTGGACGTCTTGTAGAGCAACAAAGTAATGAAGTGCCATCAAAGGTGCTCTTTTGCCACCATGTGGCCTACTGCAATTACTACATTTCTACAAAAGCAAACTTGTAAAGGTACAAAGATACTTCTGGAGCAGTGGAAATAAAGCTGGGCTTGAAGTACACTTGTACCCGGATCAGTATTTGACATGTGTTTGATAAGCAGTGAATACAGTTTAAAACCCGCACTCTTCCATCTTTGGTATATAGTAGCTTTGTGGAGAAAGTTCAAGTAGTAATCCGGGCAAAATACAAAAGTTACCTAAATCTGAAGATTAGCTAAAAAAAACATTCATTTCTACAGATTTAGTTACATTACTTACCTGTAATGAAGTATAGGAAGCACAAAACTACATGCCTCGTGACGGCAAGTATAAACTAGGGATTGATGCTTGTTAAAATGTTACTAAACCCACAAACAGTGAAATCAGTCTGTAGATGCAGTAAAGCATGCTTGGTATACTCACTGTGGAACCTAAGGGGTTATTCCTCTGCTTTGTGTGAAAAGGCTGTTTGATCCTGTCTTCTCTGATCTTCTGTCCCCAATCCATCTGCTGATAGAACAGTGCCTTGGGGGCAAGCTGCACATGCTCAGTTTGTTGTGTATTACTAGAGATTTTTTTCTTTCTTGGGAGAGTGAATGTGATCAGCACAG